ACGCAAAGCCCCAAATGCCCCGGCCTGCCACAAGGCAAACGCGAGCATTTTTAGCCAGTGGCTTCTGGCTTTCAGTTTTTGACCAGTAAATTATTAAAACAACGTCCCTTGCTGCTGGGTTTTTGCAGGTGTTCCAATATTCATCGCCGCACCTGGTAGCTGAAATAGAGGAGGCTTATCCAGGAAGGGCAAAAGTACAGCCAGCACCTTCATTCAGAACACAGGGCATCCATCGGAGCAAATCTCTTTGTTTACTTGATGGCCAGCCGCCTTCTCTCTTTATTTTCCCCCCGCTCCTTTCAGCATCGCAGAAACAACCTGGCTACAGCACGTAAACCCAGTGACTTTTTCAGCACGGAACATGTTGCTGTCAGCCTGGCCCTGGCTGCGGGAGCTTTGCCGTTGGAGGTGGGGTAAGAGGCAGGACAAGCAGGTATTTTCAGCTGCCTGCTTGAGCTGGCAGTGCTGACAGGTTGAAAAATGAGTTTTAGGGCTGTAAGCTAAGCACATTTTGAGCTGGGAGCATCACAGAGAACATCTGCCTGGTCATTTTAACCATGCCCCTGTTCTGCACTCCAAGCACGCTTTGTGTTTCAAGCACAGCAAAGGCTGATGAGTTACATGTTAAATCAAACCATTTCCTACAGGGTTCCTCCCAGGAATACAAAGCATTGATGGTGGCCACCAACAACAAGGAGCATGGTGACACTGCTAAAATACTGTGGGACTGGCCCCAGGGTGTGCTGAGTTCTGGAGTATCAAACTCGGACGTTTCTTTTGACAAGAAAGCAAGGAAAGTGCTCAAACAGAGCGGGCGCTGTGCCCATATCAGCGTGACAGCTGCCACACACCTCCCCACTTCACTGGTAACTCATCAAACCTTCTCTATTTTAGATAGGTCCCGGGTCAGTTAAATAGGCACGCGCTGTCTGCACCAGGTCCCGCGCAGTCCTGCAACAGAAAGAGCCCGCGGTGCGAACGAGCCCACCGCCCAACCCCGCCGCCCGCCACGCAGAGAGAGAAAAACGTGCGGCACTCACCAGATCGGCTTCGCACTCCCTCTTGCAAGTGCTCTGCGCGTCTACCCACAGGTTGGGGTTCATGTCATTGGGGCATATCCCGGCGTGGGAATAGCGGATCGGAGGTAGAGCTCTCCCCTTCAGAGAGACCTCCAGAAGCAAGAGGACACTGCTCTTCCCCAGCAAGATCCACATCCACCGAGCGAGCAGCACCAACAACATCTCAGAACCTCTCCAGGGCGATGGCAGTGACCGAGCTGGAGGTAGTTCTTGTTTGCTTGGGCTTGCTTGTTTTGGTTTGTTTTTCGGTAAGCCTTAAATTCGCGAGGAACCCAAACGCACCTGACTTCTGTAAAAACTTCAGCGAGCTCCTTTGCTGCCTCTGTTGAGAGTGCAGTTTGGTCTGGACCTCATTGGATTCAAGGTCCTAGGAAGTTACCCCCTTATTTTAAGAGAAATGCTCATAGTCTGCGCAGAGTTAGCTCTATTTATACCCTGCCTCTGTTAACAAGTCAGAAAAAGTAAACTTGATTTCTTTGACAGGCACACGCTTCCTATGTCCTGGTGGCAGTCAGACAGATTTGTTGCAAGAAAAAAAAGCTGGAAAGAGTTTAAAAGGCTGGAACTGGCACGGTGGGACCCCTGCATGTTTCTGAATGCAGGGAGGCCTTCTTAACCCCTTTAGACCTAAAGTACTTCCCTACGCTAAGAATGGCATTTGCTGCTGAAAGAGGGCTTGTCTGAACACCAGGGACCCGCGGCAGGGGATTTCCCCACGGCGAGGGGCTACACAATCGCTTGCTAAAAGGAACGAGTAATAGGATTGAAGCAATTAAAGCTGGAATATCATATTTTAACAAAGGAAGTAGGGAAGAAATAACTTCTTTAAACTTCGGAGCGACAAAGCAGTGTCTTCATAACTTCTCCCGGGGCGCCTCCGGGCTTTTTTCTGCCCTTCGGTGGGGCGATTTCCAGGACGCTGGTTTTCATGCTGCCCTCCAACCCCACCAGAAGACGTTAAAAGTGTCCCCGAATTCCTGCACTTTTCCCGACAGCCAGGTCCCATTGTACAGTGCATTGCCGACCCCTTTAACAGCGACAACAAAAAACCAGTAGCAGTTCAACTCTATGGAAACCTGCATAAAGGAATGTACAGCATTTTTGCTTTTGGGGGCGGGGGGGCAGTTCAGTCAAGCCGAGTTCCTCGTTCCCTGTTTATTACAGCACGGGGCTGATCCTGCTCGTGCTGAACACGTGCCAAAACCCAGAGACGAGCGGCAGAAGCCAGAGTCGCTCAGCACCCTCCAGGATCGGAGCCTTTGGGCTGAGCTCGGGGCCAGCTTGGACGGATCCTGCCCGGTGCCAGGAGCCTCCGGGGTGGACCAGGTAGGTTTGCATCCCACGTGGGGCTAACCGAGGTTGTTTTTCATGGCTGAGTTTGGGTCTAATTCTCCCCGAGCGATGACGGCTGCCAACCAGTACACCCAGCAGTGAACTGGGCCACCATGCCAGCAGTGCCCCAGGCCATGGGGCGCCGCGGCAGCCGGGCGCAGTGACCTGCTGGTGTTCCCCGAGGATCGCCTCCGAAAGGAAGGGAGAGCCACCTGGAGCCGATCTGCCCTCGGCCGTGGCATTTCTGTGGCAACGCAGGCTCACGAAGGAGGCTCTCGCTGTTTTGATTTGTGTGACCGCATTAACAACATCCACGGTGTTTGAATTTCATGTGACGTGCGGAGAGAAGTTGTCCAAATTAGCTATTTATAAGGAGCGAAGTCAACCGCCAGGCAGCCGTTTGCAGTTGATTTATGCTCTCTGAAACTTTAGAAACCTGCATGACACTTGTACAAAGTGCGGCTGTGCGCAAAATGTTTTATTCAGTACTTGTTTACAAAGACAAACGCAGCACCCTGTGATGCCTAAAAAAGCCAACCAAAAATGACACATTCCCAAGAGGTACTTAAAATTCTTACAGCTCTATTAACAACAAAATCACATGTATTAGTGGTTCTGTTGACTAAACAAAGACACTTTATTTTGTAAAACTGACTACAGATAAGCTTTGAAACCAGCTATGTATGTGGGTCTCGAAGAGTGGGGGTATCCTGGGCGCTGGAGGAGCTGCTGGGAAGACCCCAACAGCCGCTGTACGTGTGGGGACTTTGCCCTCGGTCCATGGCATTGCCACCGTGTAGCCGTGGATGTCATTTTTCCCTGCCATCTTGAGTCTTTCCGGGCTGTTTTACCCCCTTACCCGCTGAGCCAGAGGTGGTGGGTCCATGCTGCTCTTGCAGCCTCCATCTCCTCTCCTGGTGCCAGGAAGCCATTTCCCTGCAAGTTTTGGCCATGTGGCGTGAGATACCCACCAGTGTGGACCCACCTTAGGTGGGACTCCCTTCCAAGGAGGAAAAAATAACACTATCTTTTTTTTTTTCCTTTTCCTAGACCAAGGATCCCTTGCCCAGTGGCACATTTCAGCTGCAGGGGAGCAAAGTGGGGCTCTGAAGAATCAGACACTGGTTTGCATCAGACAGACGGAGCCACCTTCTGCTTCGCTATGTCCTCCTCCATCCAGAGGGATGTTCTCCAGGGACAGGTAAGTCCCACCACAGCTTTCTGCAGTCGGCTCCCAGGTGTCATGTTCAGTGCATGATGGCCAGGACGGTGGAGCTCAAGAAGCGACAGGTTACTGAGCCCAGCTGAAGGAGCAGTTGCATGGGACCTGCAACTCAGCTGATTTAATTGCGTCGCTATTGGAGGTCAGTGGGGTGGCTCAAGGAAAGGCCACCTGAATGGCTGGGTTTGATGTACGGGCACCCTAAACGTCGGGCTAGTGCTTGGCACAGCAGAGAGGAGCGAGGACATCCCATAGGAGCTTGGGAAAAAGGGCAAAGCAGTTCTCATTAATGACAATGACGGTTTTGTTCGGTCACTGTGCTAACATCACAAGTGAGGCACGGGAAACCTGTGTTAACTCAGAAATCACGCTTTCAGCAAAACTTTTGCATAGGAAGCCTCTTAGGGAATCAAATCCTGGCCTAATCCAATGGAATCCAGACAGACACTGTGCCCTTCTGCCTCCCATTGCTCCAGAAACAGGGAGTGCTCAGCTCCATGCAGGATCAGTCCCTTACCCACTTGAACACAGCTGGGAGAGAGAGGAAAACAGCACCATAAATCTCCCCATGAATGCGGGCAGCTCCCGAGGTCAGAGGAGGCAGTGAGGACTCTGAATAACGCTCGAGAGCTGCCCCGTCCCTGCCTGAACATCCCAGACACGCCGTCACCCAACCTGAGGAGCACACCCAGGAGGGGACACCACAACGCACGCTGCCCCGGCTTGTCTAGGGGACAGCGGGGACCCTGGTTGTCCCAGCATGGACAGCCAAGCCCAATGCACTCAGTATCTCTTGGGTTTCACTGAGGGCTGTTTTCTCGCCTGGTTTAAATTAGTTTAACTCCACTGACCTCAACGGATCTGACTGGGTACTCCAGAAAAACACCAGCTAACGCCAGCTGTGAATCAGGGTCTTTGTCAAGGTCCCTGGGCCTTGTTTTTCTGTTCTTTCCTGTGTATAAAGCCCCATGCATTTTTTTTTTTAATATAATAAAATGATCCTTCTTCTCCATTTTTATGAACAAATCTATTACGAACGCCGAATTTACGGCTTAACTTCTCTTATTCATATCACATACCGATTCTTTAATATAAGAAATAAAATAATCCTTCTTCTCCATTTCTATGAACAAATCTATTACGAAAGCCGAATTTAGGGTTTAACTTCTTTTATTCATATCACATACTGATGTGATGAAGATCTTCCCAAAGGAGTTCAAGCCTTAGAAGAAACCCCACTGCTCCCCCAAAGTCCCTCCTTCGGATCGAGGCGTTGATCTGAGTCTGTTGGATGGGGAGCTGGGGGAGCTTCCTCTGGATCTCAGCTGGACAAACCCGAGCCCTGACAGCACACAGCAGCATCCCAGATCTGCCCCCGGCAGCGGGGACACGCGGTCTCTGACCAGCCTGCGCTCCACCAATGCCCGTCCGATGCCACACCACAGTCCTGAAAAGCCTTCCTAGGATGGCCAGGGTTCTGGTTAGGGCTGTGGATCTAGAATTGGCTTAACTGTTGATGATTTTTGTAAATTATAATTTCTTTGCCCTTTTTCTTACTCTTGCCAAGCTCCTCTGGGATGTCCCTGCCCCTCTCTGCTGCACCAAGTGTGGACCCAGTGTTTGGCGTGACCCCTTCTAATCGAGGAGGGAAACGGGATTCCCCAACGCACAGGAAAGTGTAGTTGTGTTGGTTTTTTTCTTAAACCACCGTTAAAGGAACAGCAAACTGTTTTATTTATTAGGCAAAAGGAGCAATCCTCATCTGGAGTTACTCAGCGGATGGCGGATTGATTTGCTGGTTTTATTGTGGAAGGGCTCTTGGCAGGACCCGTCACCCTGCGACGCCAAACCTCCCATCTCCCATTGATCTCTGCCTCGGCAAAGGGGCCCTTCCAGATTCGGCCTCTCGTGCAGTCTGGGCCCGCCGCCACTCGCAGCCCGGGTTGCCAACACAAAACCAAACCACCCCGCACCCGGCCCTGATTCATCGCTGCCGGGTGGTATCTGGCTGGCTGCGGCACCGGGAGCCCTGAGGGAGGGCTCACAGCTGGAGCGGGCACTCGTCTGTGCTGGGGGGCAATGGATGAGAAGAGGCAAGCCGGGGGGCTGCAGGTAGGACCTCTTCTGCCTTTAAGCTTAGCTTCAAGGAAAGACTCTGGTCCTTGAGACCTCCCTCTTCCTCCACGCAGGGCAGCCGGGCGCAGCAGGACCTGGTACTAACGCCAGCGACCAGCCCCGTCCTCCAAACAGGGCACCGAAACCTGCCCTGCCTGCAGGGACCCTGCTCACGCCGGCAGCCCCAAGGACATGCTCTTCTTCAGCCCCACCATCCTCACCCACGCTCCTTAGGCGGCTCCTTGTCCATGCACAGATGAAAATGTATGCCTGAACAGAAAAGTACTTTAAAAAACCCCTCTGTCTCATTTAGAAAGTAACGACGTTCCAGCGGCTGGAGGTATGCGACGGTCACACCGCGCCTGGGTCCTGTTTTCGGGGCTGTTCATGTGCCTGATTAGCAGTGGCAGCACATTTCAGTTTCCCTTTAGTTAAGATTTTTGTCAGGGCTCCCCGTAAGCGCCCACAAGTAACAAATGCTGGGTTTGACTTCTGAAATAACCCATCTGAGCAGCTCACAGCACGCGCGGACAGGCTCAGGGAACCGCAGGCAGACCCAGCACAGCGACTGCTCCCCGAAATGAGCCGCGGTTTATGGGCGTTCTGCCTCACGCGCAGATGCTCAGTAAGCAGAAGTTAATGTAGTTAGACAAAAGGGCTCAGTTTGGGGGGAAAAATCAATAATGTCAGGGAGTTTATTACAGGGTTATGGGCCACCTGCTAGAACTCAGCATCAGGCCTGCGTTACGTTGTGTTTCGGTGCGAGCTGATGGCATTGCACTCAGACAAGGCTAGCGCCAGAATTATTATTTTATGCCTCAGCAGATGGCTTCTGCTCGGGGGTTTTATCTTTGAGTGCAGGCATACGACTAATCATCATTTGCTTTCTCTTTCTCTGCTAACGTAAGCTGGGCAGGAAGCAATTGCCAGTTTGATGACGGTTCATTATTGCTAGGTTTATTCTGTCTGAAACAGCACAGCAAGAGGCAAAGAGGGTACAAAGGAAGGTAATCAACCAGTTATCAGTGAGATACGGGGAAAAGCTGGGCTCAGAGGCTTCGCTTGCACTGGCCCATCTCTTTCTCTCTCTCTTTCAGAGGCAGAGACTTAGATATCCCATAGATAATGTGGGGAGGCCATGGAGCTGGTACCTTTGTCAAGGTTGCAAGGGTCAAATGTTGGGAATGAGCTCATCCTGCCTTCGAGCCGGAGGGCTAAGCCACTTCCCAAAGTCCCCTCCAGCCCTGTCCTCTGTCACCCTCAATGTGGAGCGAGACCTGCTCCACCAGGCAAGCTTTGAGCTAGGGAACCCTGAGAATGGCAATGCAACCTGGAGAGCCAAGAGACGGAAATCTCAGCCGCCGCAGCATCATTGCAGGGCCCGGACTGTTCCTGTCTGAACCCGAGGAAGAACTTCTTCCCTCTGAGGGTGACGGAGCCCTGGCCCAGGCTGCCCAGGGAGGCTGTGGAGTCTCCTTCTCTGGAGATATTCCAGCCCCGCCTGGACGCGGTGCTGTGCAGCCTGCTCTGGGTGACCCTGCTTCGGCAGGGGGTTGGACTGGGTGACCCACAGAGGGCCCTTCCAACCCTGAACATCGCTGAAAACGGGAAACCCGTAGCACCCCGGCACGCAGCTGCAGCAGAGAGGCTGGCGGTTTTAGTAACGGGGGGTTAGTTTAGTGGCGAGCTTGAATAATAGCACTTTCAAAAACTCTGGCACCAGATCCGTGGTGTGCAAATGGAGATGTTCCCATGGCTTGCAGCACTGCTGTGGCTGTACAAGCCATAGCATGAAAACCTCAGTGTTGAACCAGTACATTTGTTGTTGATCTTCACTCTTTCTGCTTGGTTCCAGCTCGATCTGAATGAAAGCTCACAATAAAAGCAAGATGTGGGCCTGGTGCTCGCTCAGGCTCAGTGCTCGGCACAGCTTTCACCAAAGCCAGCAGTGTTTCTGCAGGAACGTGAGTTAATTTAGTTCCACATGTACTGCTGTGGGAGGCTAATGAATATTATTAAACCCATTGCACAGATTCACTTCAGTCTGCAAATGACCCTAATTTAACCTCCCTTATTTACTTTTAGGAATTTGAAGCTGGGAGGAAATCACTTGCTGAGTATCACACAGCAACGGCCATGAAAGGCTGGAGTCCTGAGACCTGCTCCCAACCCCACAAGCACCATTTGCTTGTCAGAAAGCTCATTCGATACAGAAATGTCACGCTGCTTTTGTTTGTGATGTGATTCAACTCAAATAAACAGTAAGGTTTTAACCTGCTGTGGTGATTTAACATAAACCCCTCCCAGCTGTCATCTTTCTTCCCTGAAAACCCAGCGTTTCTCCTGGTTTGGACTGTAAGCCTTAATTCCCCGTCACTTCAGCGTGAAGGTCCCATCTCACCATCACTCGGAGCTGATCCTTTTAGAAAGTTTATAAACCTTCCCATGGACGAGGTCTGAGCTGAGAGTTTGGGAGGTGAGAGAACACCGCTGCAGATTTGCCTGGGTTTGTGCTTTGCTGTGAGACTTTACGAAACCCCTGAATCCGTGGAAGTCTGGAAGCCCTCGTTGTGGCCGGGAGCCTCTCCAGGAGATGCAGAGCCGCTCCCAGCAACTGGGCTTTGCATCAGGCAGCAAGCGTTGGCTTCTCCAGACAACCTGGAAGTCCCAGAGCTCCTCCGAGGGTTTGGTATCCAAAACTTCGCTATAAACAATAGTTAATTTTCACAAAATGGAACTATTTCCATTTCTGCAAATATAATGAAAGCCTTTTAGTGTCAATTCTGTCTTCTTGGAATTTAAATCTAAATTAGGACAAAATTCTTTTTAACTGAAGAGTTATTGCCTTCGCTTGGCTTTGCTGGTTGTTAGCAGTCCTGGCTGTCGCACATCCTACCCTCTGGCCATGCTCAGAGCGTGACCTCTGCCAGGAGCCCCTGCCTGGGCAGTTGGGCACATTAACAGTCTTTCCAAGAGGTGAACTATTTTGTTTCAATTTGCCCTGCGTACTCTTTTATCACCAGACGCAAGATATCGTAAGGTCTGCGTTGCTTGAGCCCAGATGACGGCCGTCAGAGGGAGTTGGTAAATCTCTGCTGGGCCACTGACACAGTTACTGGAAACGCCCGAAGGAGACTGAACGCAGGTCTGGTGTAACCAGGGTGCTCCTCCCCGGCACTCACTGGGCAGCAGATCCCAGCACAGCCCAGAGGCGCGAGCGATGGCTGCGGAGCCGCGATGATCTGCTTCCACTGATCTTTGGAGTAGCGAGCCGGTCCTGCCTGCCCTGGCAACGGGCTATTTGTCTGCATTTAATGGCAGTTTTTAATTGTTGCTCTTTCTGATTTCAGCTAATTCAACGCTCATTTTTATTTTGGTCTTTTATTGTTTGCAGCGTGAAGAGTCCACCTGCAGCCTACATCGTAGCAGGGTTCACCGAGCTGCAGCACTTTCTTTCACACGGCAGTTTTGAAGAGAACTGGTCCTTGATTGCCTGACGTGATGGTGGCCAGCAGAGCGATTGTGGGTAATGTTGAAGAGATTCGCGTGGTTTAATCGTTACAATTTTCCTGTGCCTCTAGGGCCTGCACACTGGGCTCATTGCGCTATCTAACCGATTGCTAGGATTGTGTTTTAATGACAGACGCAGCAGGCTGCCTTTGAGCAGGGAGGTACAAAGGATTTGGAGCATCGTTAGAGGCGAGCGTTTCAAACACTCTGTAATGGCCTGATTTTTCTCCAGTTGAAGTCGATGGTAAATATTCCGCTGGCTTCAATGGGGAGCGAGGTGAGGTTACAGCCAAACACTCTCGGAAATCCCACCCAGCCCTTGGTTTTTCTTGACCTGTAGGCCAGTTCAGTCAGCTCTGCTTCCACAAAGGAGCTTTCAGGAGTAAAAGGCACCGGAGCGATTTCAGCCCTGCATTCACGTGGTAGCAGCATGTGAATCGCGGCAAATCTAGAGGACGACCCAGCCCTCCCGAGCTCTGCTTCCGCTTCTGCAGACGTCCGGCTGGCATCGCTCTTGCTGTCTCCTCCTTGACTGTGGGGAAGTTTAGGGCAACGGGATTCCCAGTTGGGATTCCCAGTTAGGTGGGGTGAACTCCTGCAATGGGACGGGAGGATTTGGGGTACGCTGACAAAACCTTTGGCTTTGGTGTGCGTCAGCCATGAGACCAAGGTGGCCTGGGAAATCCTTACATCACCTCTGCAGCCCACGGCATGAGCTGCGACTTGGTCTCTTCCCATCACAGAGAAAATGGTCTTGAATTCATATTTCTTTTGTGTTTCTTCTTTTGTAATTTTACATGTTTTTCTTTTGTGTTTATGTAACACTGTAGTTACAAAGCTCTGCGCAGGGTGGAAAATCAGACATTTCCATATATTTCCGGACATTTCCGTAAACTATTTTGCTTTAAAAATCAATTAGATTTGTCGATACGGAATTGTTATCTACATGGGACCCATTCCTACCTCTGTCACTGACTTTTTCTGTGAGCCTAGACCCCTTACTCCCTCCGCGCCACAGCTCCCACCTCTCCGAAGGGGACTGTAAAGCTCACAAGTGGGTCAAGTGACATCAGTTTGTCTTTTAAATCCCTGCTTCTTGCCAGTGCCACAGAAGTGATGTGTGAGCATGAGGTGTGATTTTCTGCAATCCCAAAACTGTCTGAAAAAAATGACAAACGCAAAAATTGTATCTACAGCCATTTGTTTGTGTCTTAAGCCGCAGCTTAAGCACAAACCTTTCTAGCTCACACACATACTTTTTTTTTTTTAACTTTGTCATGGCTAGAAACCTAACACTGCTGCTGTTTCAGAACACGTACTTGGTTTGTACTTTCTCAGCTCCTTCCTGATTTCTTTGAGGAATCTGGCGTACCAATGGCCACAGAAAACCAGGTTAGTGCACAGTAGAGGCTTTCATGGCCACTAATCTTGATGACAAAATTATTTGAACAAACACTTCTTGTGTCACCAATATATATTATGTAAAACCTTGTGACTTTGATTATGTGTCTATAATACAGATTAGTCTGTTTGGGTGTTTGGTGCTGACCTCCAATAAGCTCCTAAAGTATTAGCAAGAATTTGCAAGTGACAGGCAGGCAGAGGTGCTGTTCTGCCTAATCCCATTCTCGAAACTCTGACTATGTAGTCTGAACAGTTTCTGTTGCTTTCCTTAAGGCACCGCATTATTTCTTCCTCTGCCCCCTCCCAACGGCCTCTGTCCTCCTCTCCACTGCACTGATGTATCACGAATGTCGGAAGACTTAGCTAACCTTCTGGGCTGGAGCCAGGAAGACAGCGAGAACAAATTTAGAATAGGAGGCAGAGAATGTACCAGCTGGGAGGTGATGCTGTCAATCTCCATGGAGACCTCTTTAGTTACAGCTTTGCTAATTGCTCTGTTGAATTGTACAGCGTCTGGTTGAAAGCCCATCCAAGTCAATGGAGAGTTCCTAATTGACTGGCCAGGTCTCAGGACCGTGAAGAGTGCACAGGGCATAGCCCCGAAGTGTAACCAGTTATGATTTGCATTTGTGGCTTTCTCCTTCATGGCCAAAACACAATCTAAGGAGAATCCAGGCACCATGACCTGGTCTCCTGCACAGGCCATGGTCCTGTTCACAGCACGTGCACTTTCCACAGGAGTCAGTGTCTGCGGCAGACGAACCAGGATGAGATCCACAGCAGCCGTTTGGCTCCGAACGCCTGGATAGGACATGGCCCTACACAGGAGTTGGGCAACTGCATACATTTGCCCCGTGTCCCCAGGATGAGCCAGTTGCATGGCTCAGGAGAGCAAAGTGAGGAACTACAGACACGGGCAGAGAGGAACGTGGCCAGCTGTCTGGAGAAAAAGCAAGGGTGGCCCCTCATCTGCTCAGTTTTCTGGGTTACAACACCACTTAGCTCAGAGGGGACCGGGCTCACCCCTGGGGACCCTACCCACAACCGCAACACAAGCAACAGAAACCCTCGGGAGGAGAAGTTTGGATCCACGGCACTGCAGTTCAGGCTTGTCATTACTTGAAGCCAAAATGGCTTTAGACACTAATCCACTGAACAATTTCCAGTTGTTATCAAAATCTATTGGACTTCTTAACCACGAGTCCCTGAGCTGATGTACCACCCCCCTCAGGTTCCAGTTCTCTGACTTGTTTGTTCAGAAATGATTTATTTGTCCTACAAATAGGAAGAATGTTAAATTAGTAAATGAATTCAGCTGCACGCTATGTCTGATTTCTAAAGGGATTTGGCTGCCTGAGAAGATCCTTGCCCTGCAGATAACCATTCCCCCAAATATCAATGCCAGCCTCCCCCCCAAAAAAATTTCACTCTGTGCTGCAGGCATATGCATAAGTGTGTGTGCGTTCACACCACCTGCAAAATGTCTTTCTTA